CGATTCACATCATTCTTTAACTCAAGTGAATTTTGCTATTCTCTTCTTCGTTTGTATTTTGATAATACTAATACTGAACCTCTCAAATTCACTTCATCAATTGTGTCCATCTCCATACTCATGGACTTAGAAGTGAGTCTTGATTCAGATTGATGATGATCTTGAGCATTATTATAAAATTGTAGTAATCATACAAACGAATTAAATAATTATTTATGCTATCCACCATCACTTTAGCCATAGCATCTTCATAAATATTCGAAAAGCAAACTGATATGTAATCCAATTTGTAATGAGGATCGAATACTGCTATGAATATCAACTTATTAATTCTTTTCACTAAGTCCCAGTATTTATCATACTTAACTTTCATATTGAACTATGTTACTTAAAACATAGTTCACATTTGTACTCCGCTGAATTAAAAGTTCTCGAATACCCCAAAGTTCATGAAAATAAGAATTAGAAATCACATATAAAGAACCACTCATCTTCATAGTGATATCATAGAAAACCTTCAAAAACTTTACAAACACTGCAACGTTTTTCCAATCATCAATGGTTGATGACCCTATTCTTTTGTTTTTGTGATCCCCTCCTTGAAGTAATCAACATAATCTAATTTTCTTCCTCTAATACTTTGAAAGTTTTTTCAAATTTCAAGGCATGATCAAGCATCAAATAAGTGGAATTCCATGAGTCGCCCCATCCAAACAAACAAGTGCTTTACATTTAATTTTTTCTTGTTCAACACGATCTTTAAATCTTGTCAATCTCTTGGGGGATGATCTAACATACCTCACTCATTGCGAACACTAGAAATGGAGTCATGCATTTCTTTAAACCCTTCATTCACAATAAGTTAATTATATGAGCACAAGACCTCATGTGTAATATTTCTACATCTAAGACAAGTGAATTCCAACTTCTAAGCCTTCTCAAATATATGAATAGCTATATTATTAGAACTTGCATTATCAACTGTGACAAAAAAAAACCTTATCGATTCTCCATTCCAATAAACAACTCTCAATAATCTTGTCAATAGTCTCTCCCTTGTGGTTAGCAACTTGACAAAAGTTAAGAATTCTTTTATGCAAATTTCATTATGAATCAATAAGATCTGCGGTGATTACCATGTAATTAATGTTTTGCAACGAAGTCATGTGTCAGTGGTAAGACAAACCTCTTAGAATGATGGACTAAAAAATATTTTAACTTCTTTTTTCTTCTAGATAGAGCTGAAATATATTTCTAGCAATGGTTGAAAAATTAGAGTGGTTTGTCCTTTGTTCTCCACCTTATATGTGTACTTTCTACACTGATTTTTTAAGTGCTTCCATAACGTGCTAGTTCCACAAGAATTAGTATCACAAGCATACTCCTTAGAACAATAGTTGTACTTGCACCTCTTATTATTGTTCTCTAATCTTGTAAAATGATCCCACACAGTTGATTTACTAGGCTTCTCCTTCTTAAATTCAGTTGTGCAGCCAATGGTGGCTTCGATGCATTATAATTACTAGAGCTACTTGCACAACCAGTTGCACTCTTGTTTTCCATCTATATAAAAAGTAAAATAGAATTATTATGATTCAAACATTCAACCCAATATGAACAATTACCATACATGCATCAAAGTTAAAATATATCAACAGTCTTTGTAAGGGGATATAACAAAAAGAGAAAAAGCTTACCCGTTATAGCGTTCCAGGAGACTGAAGAAAGAAAAACAGGGCGCGAGAGAGAAACAAGACAAGGAACGCAAGAGAATGCTATTGAAATCAAAATCCTTGAGAGAGACTAAGTGTTCAGAGAGAAATTTGTAGGGCGCGAGAGAGAAAAAAGACAAGGAACGCAAGAGAATGCTATTGAAATCAAATTCTTTAAAAGAGACTAAGTGTTCAGAGGGAAATTTGTATTCCCCTAAACGTTTGTATTTTGGTATGAGGTTGAGAGAGAAGAGGCTGAAAGATTGAAAAAGGCACGAGGCTTTGAGAGAGAAGAGGCTGAGGAGTCGGATAAAAGTTTGTATTTTGACTTAGGTAGAGGGAAGAAGCATTAGGTTAGGAGAGAAGAAGCAGAGAGGAGAGAGTGAGACGGGGAGAGAGAGAGAGTCGGGTTGACTGAGGATTAGGGAGAGAAATGTTGGGTTGACTAAGAAATGAGGCTTTTTGTCTTTAAAGCAGAGAGGGATTTGTTATTTTAAATTTGTTTACACCATTTAAGTAATTATGGGTTCTCTTCAAAAGTGTGAGGCTTGGGCTTTGTAAATGTGGTCAGAGACCAGACAAGACACTAGCAATGAGTTATTGGGCTATGACTTTAGACTCTTGGGCTTCAATTTTTTTTTTCAATATTTTTGTGTTGGGTCAGGTTGACCCAATCATTTTCTTTTAGAACTCGAACCCAACCCAAATTAGATAAGGTTCACAAAAATGGACCCAACCTAAACCTGAAATCCAACACAACTCAACCCTTATATTTCGGGTTGGGTCGGGTTGGGTTCTCGAGTTTCCGGGTTAGGTGTACACCCCTATCCAGAACTATCAGAGTACGAGATAGGTATTCATCTTCATTACACTATTTGTTGTTGACTGACGAAGGAAAACCAAAGTCCTTTGATGAGACCCTACAGTTGGAGAATAAAACCAAGTGGGAGCAAGCCATGAATGATGGGATGAGTTGGATGTCTAGGCTTTAGAATTGTGTTACTTCTTCATCCACCGAGGATCATTACGTGACAATAACTGAAGCTAGAAAGAAAATGATATATATGACAAACTATCTAGAAGAATTAGGCAAGAAGCAGTGCAAGTAGAATCTTCATGCAGATAGTCAGAATGTCATACAGTTGTGAAGGACCCAATCTATCAAAGACAAAACACATTAGAAGATGATATCATTTCACTCGCATGTTCATAGAAAATGGTGATGTGTTTTGAGAAGATAGAGGTTACAAAGAATCTAGCAAACATGTTGAATGTGTTGATGTTGGATAATTAAGGTTGTGCAAAGCCTCAATTGGTATGGTGTAACGAAGATGCTGATGGTCATTTGAGAATGAAATTCTTGATTGACTGGATCAGTCTCCAAATAACAAAATTGTTGAGCTATGGAGTCGGTTACTTATTTATAGCTTTTCTCTCTTCTATTTTTTGTATTCATCTAGATTGAGTATGTGTTGTTGTGGGATCCTCACAAAAACAACTTGAAAAAGCACCTATCATCTATGTAACTAACCATTCAAACTTTTCTCAAGTAATACTGGTAGGGATCGCTAAAACATTCTAGCATAATGCATATCTTACCATAGATGGTTAGAAATGTTTTTTTTTTTTTACTCGAGTGCAATATATGTTAAGGAAAGTTAACAAAAAAAAATTCCTAAGATGAGAATTTATAATACATGCCGATTTTAATGTTTTCTTGTACGTTAGAATGGAGGATGAGTGATATGGTAATTCTGGCATGATGAATCTAAGAACTCTTGCCTAAACATTTTGGATATCTACAAATGTTAAAACTCCCCAATCAAGTTGATTTCATTCATAATAATTGAATCCTAGGAAATTTCATCTAACAATCTTATTGAAAAATAAAACCTTTAGATCATAATTCAGACCATACAAGTGCACGGCGAGTCCACGCAAACGGTTTAGTTAAGATATGCCAAATTCCACAAAGTATACAAATGGAACCTAACCATACATGACCCCCAACTATATCTTCCAAATCGTCCACACTAACAATCCATCCTTCTCTCCAAAAGGAGATTTTAGTAAATAACCAAATATAACACTTTTACATCCCCTCGGGGAGCCGAGGTATCATATACGCCCCCAAAATAAAGAGCTTTGAATACTAGAATAAAACCTTTAGATCATAATATCCAAGCGCCCCAAAACGATAAGAAATTACTCCAAGAAAAAGTAAGATGTAAATTACCTTGTTGTTTGAATATCTCAAGGTAAGAACATTTGTTTAAGATTCGAATCACTTCACAAGCAAGATTGATTATGTTAAGATCGAATTATTTTAAATATACAACCTAAATTATATAGAATTTCTAAGAAACTTAGCTCTTCGCTAAAAGAAAACTCTTTTTACTACATTTTTTCAAGTTTACTTTACAAAGACAACATACATGACTTTCAAAATGAAACATTTGACCCTCCACGAGACATTTCAATAATTGTAACTTCATTCTCTATGACCATAATTAGTCACGGGATAAGTGCACCTAAGTAAATAAAAAAACTTTAAAACTTAAAATGCATTAATGAAATACCATAAATCTAGTTTTCAATCTCATAAATTTGTAACCATCTAAGAATAAATGAAACCTAGTTTAAAGTATCTTGAAACCCTGTTGTATAAAAGAATCCCGATTCTTCGTAATGGGACATTAATTGCAACTTTGTTCAACTTTAATGAAACTTGATTTCACTTAACGGAACTTCAAGACATCCCCAAATGATCAGATAGCAATAGAGACTAGGCTCAAACTTTTTAGTAGAATGCAATGAGAGCCTACAAGTAAGTTGCTTACCGATCATTTTTATACTCAACCCTTTTATTAGGTGCTTGCAAGCTACGATCGAAGTGAGAAAGCATTCGAGAGATGCACGGTCACAAAAGGGGTCATCTTAGGGCGGTAATCTATTTTTGTATTTTAGGTCTTTTATAACTTATTTTTAAATCTATTTCAAACCTTCCCCATTTGTAATAAATTTGAACAATGTCTGTAATTAGATTTTGTTTTATTTTCAATTTCCTTTGTATTATATTCTTTTGTCTTGTCCTTTAGCCACAATCCATATTTTGAAGCTTGGAAAACCGAGTTGTGACAATCTTCCTCTCTTCTAGTCAATATATAATTACGATAACGTTGTCAACAGAAGATAATTTCGACACGAAACATCCAAAATATCATTCCTTCTTTTTCTTTTATTTATTTATTTTTGTTTAATTCTAACAAATTACACCAAATGGAGATCAATCAAAGATAAAACAACATTTAACTTCATTAATCTTAAAACTCGTAAAGATTAAAACAAAACAAAACAAAAAGGTTCAAGAATAAAAAAATATATCTCACACATATTTTTTCCTTTTTTTCTTGGAGAACACGTGGACCATACATAAATGCCACTTGGCATATGTCGTAGATCCCTTTGCCTAGTTGTCAATATGATGTGTACACCCAGACAAAAGGGGTTCCCTCACATCAACTTTATAGCTATCTGTCTCAATCGAAGTTGAAGCTGATTCACAATCCTCTTCTTGTTTTTCAACTCTACACTTTCCTCTGTCTTCTTCCTTCGTGTAATCATTTGTTTTCCCCCAAAGAACCACATATAATCCAATAATTACAATCACGCCCCCCAACAAGCTGAAAATTATTCAAAAAAAAAAAAAAACTTATGAATAACAGCGTAACGATTTTAGGTTCCGACAAGTTTCTCGTTTCTCGTCCCAAAAATTAACTGTAATGACTTATGCTCAAGATTCATAATGAAATTTGAAATTTGGATCCTAATGACCTGATATTTATTTGAATTCCCTCGACATACTATGTTACTTACTTATCTCAAATTGCTCCCGAGAGTGAATTGGTTTCACTTGCATGCTTTCTATATAACGGCCCAGATCTACCGCTAGCAAATATTGTCTTTTTTTAGTTTTCTTTTTTGGGCTTCCCTCTTCAAAATGCATAGGCTAGTAAAAGGTTTCCACACTCTTATAAAGGGTGTTTCGTTCTCCTCCCCAACTCTCATTCAAATGTTGTCTAGCTCCATTCATCTATATACCCTTCTTTTACCTCTGATGTCATATTAACCCAACAAAAAAAAAACCCCGTTTTTTTTTAATGAAATCGATAAATTCTCAACCCATTTGAGTCGAGAAAAGAATACCAAACCCTAATACGTGGCTTCACGATGATCAAAATTATTTTTTTTTAAAACTAAATTGACGCATATATAAAATTTACCTTCCAGTATAAATCTCCTCATGAAGAAATATAGCTGCCAAAATAGTGGTAATAATGGTGCAAAAGGGGTTGAACACTGCAGAGAACACAGGTCCTCTCTTTGAAATACCCCAAGCTTGAAGAAAGTAGGCAACTCCTGACCCAAAAATCCCCTAATAACCAAACACAATTAGATCTCAAAATTACCTCTAAAATTGGTAAACTGTAAAAAATTACTTACCGAGAAGAGGTAACAAATAAGTTCAGTAGTTGAATGAATCTTCCACGTTTCTAAATTGGCTCCCTCTACCCATAATGTGAAACCCACTGATTGTATGAGTGAAAAAAAACAAGTCCATGCTGATAAAGATAGCTTGTCAGGATAGCTTGCCATTGCTGGCACCTGCAATATCAACCAAATTGACCAACAGCAACAGCTACCAAACAGACTGAGTGAGCCCAACAACCAAGCCTGATCGCTTCCACTTTCCACACCAAATATTGCAGATTTGACACCGGAAGCTTGTGTGGCGTTCAGAAGCTTTGGACCTCTTAGAAGGGCCATGAACATAGCCCCACCGACACAAACCACTGTGCCTACAATCTTGGCCACGCACCTCACGTTTGTCATGTTCACACTCTCCATTCTGCGAATTTTTAACCGTTAAGTTGAAGGACAATGTCTGGACAGTTACATAAATTAATATAATATTACCACCGACTCACCCGACCATTGCTGCTATTATAAATGTCACTGCCGGAATCAGATTCTCCATCGCGGTTGCTAATGATGAACTGGCTAAGAACAGTCCCTCGTAGAAAAAATTGTGGTTCATGGTTGAACTGTCCAAAACACCCAAAATTACCCGTTTAAACAACCTCATCTATTCCGACTATCAAATCTAAACTATAAAAGTTGGGTTGAGTTGAATTTTTGAAAAATCTAAAATTCGGGTTGTCTTAGACTGACATTTTCTTTGTCAAATCAACTTGGCCAACCCAAAAATAAAATTACAATCCAACCAAACAGATTATTATAAAAATTAAGAATATGACATTTGTAACTAATATTAGTGATATGTTGTGACGGGTGAATATTTGATATTTTAGTTTTATGAAATTTTAGTTATTAATGTAAAATGTATTATGGATTGTTGAGGATTATTGAGAGTGAGTCCGACATTGGTTAATTTATGGAATGATCCTAAGTTTACAAGAAGGAATATATCTCTATTGGTACGAGCCTTTTTTGAGAAGCCTAAAGCAAAGCCATGAGAGCTTATGCTCAAATTGGACTATATCATACCATTGTAGAGGTCCGTGATTTCTAACATAGTATCAGAATCTCATGCCCTTAACAACTTGACCACGTCAATAGAATCCTCAAGTGTCGAACAAATAATTTGTGAGCCTCGGAGGTGTAGTCAAAAGTGTCTCAAGTGTCGAACAAAGGGTGTACTTTGTTCAAAGACTCTAGAGAAGGAGTCGAGCCTCGATTAAGGGGAAATTGTTCGAGGGCTCAGTGCACTTTGTTCAAAGACTCTAGAGAAAGAGTCGAGCCTCGATTAAGGAGAAATTGTTCGAGGGCTCAGTGTACTTTGTTCAAAGACTCTAGAGAAAAAGTCGAGCCTCGATTAAGGAGAGGCTGTTCAAGGGCTCCATAGGTCTCATGGGAGGCTCTTTAATGTAATTTGTTCGAGGCGAAGATCGTTGGAGGGCTCCATAGGCATCCAAGAACACCCGACAATCCAATCCAACCCAACCCGCTCGAAAGTAAAGGTTGGTTTTTTTATAAGTCCAAAAGATTTTTCCCTGACGCTAACCGAACCTATATACATCCGTATTAAATCTTACCCGATAAGTGCAGCAAAAAAGATGAGATAAAAGCTCTTGAGGTCCAAAGAAACCTTCATGGATTTCGACCTGCCATCCCCAAATTATAAGACAAACAAGAAAACAGAAAAGAACCAAAATAGTGTTTGAGAATGAAGAATGTATATCTAACCTGGAGAGATAAGCAATGGGTGCAATAGAGAGAGTGGCAAAGGCCTGCCTATAAACGATGAACACTCTAGGACTCATACCCTCCAAAAGGGCAGCCCTAGAGATGAGTGTCACAATAGCATAAATTGCTTGAATTCCCAACATCGCCATTGCTGGCAAGTACTCTTCAGCCACACCCATCTCCCCTTTCTCTTCCTTAGAGGCCTTCTTTCTCCTCCCCAAATGCTCTCACAACTTTCTATTTTATATCCTTCAATCTTCACATGTGAGAGAGAGAGAAGATATATAAAGATTTAAAACTTGCAATCCCGGAACTTTTCGAGTTGACTAGACTGGTTGTTGTAGCTACTACGATCACTTTTATTAATTGTTAAACAGAAGTGTACACGTGTTGGATTGGACTGAGTTCGAAAAATCTTTTGAACCAATTCAAAATTTTAAGTTGGTGACCGGAACCCCTCGAATAGAATACACAATTCAACCAAATCCAACCCTATCCTCTATTTTCGATTGTCGAATTGTTTTACAATTTACAACCATATATAAACGTTAAATTTCCTTAACATTTTTAGAAGTATGGCCGAGCTGTTAGGTTAGGATATTGTTAACGATATTTAATACTAAATTACATCATATTTGATATTTTATTATATACAAATATGTAGATATTTGTCTTCTTAGCTGAGGTATCTTTCCATATATTTGTTATTTCCATTTATTACTATTTTCATAAATAGAGAATTTTCACAGTAAAGTGGTTTTAGCAAATATTCTCAGTTATAACCCTACTTTAAAAAAATGTCCGTAAATCTAACCCAAATCTATATATATATAACATTTGAATTTTTGGTGATATTTCGTTTATATTTAATTTCAATTTTTTTTTTTAAGGAAAGTTGTTTAAATATTTAAATATTTATATATTTAAATTAAAAATGATATTTTGTTCTCTAATGTTTGTTTTTTCTTTAATTAAATATTAAGAAAAGCATTAAATAAAGCTTAATTTTATTCAATTTAATATAAAAAGGGTAAAAATAAATAAATTTAATTCACTTTCACTATTAAAGCTAGACATTATTTTATATTTTGGATTAAATATAAAATAAATGAAAGAAAAGCTTGGAATTTACTCCTCAAATCACGCATTTCTTGCACGATCTCAAGATTAATTAATATATAAATAAAAATTATTTTTTAAAAAAATTGTAAATTTTTACAAAAACTCACAAGTTGATGGAGATATGGTTGAAATATTCAATGCCACGTTGTTGGACAGCTGTAACGTCAGCACAAAATTTAATAAATAAATAAATAAATAAATAAAATATTATATACAAAAGATGATATTAACCGGATTCTTTGAATCCACGCCATTGAGGAAAAGGGTGATTTAGTAATGTTACCACTTTCGTCTTTCATTTTTCTTTTATTTATTTATTTATTAAAAAGAACAAATTTTTATTTTGAAACTATTATTGCAATCTCATGTTCTAAATAATAAAAATGAATAATTTTTTTAGCTTTTTAAAGTAAAATATGTGTTTATATCGAAGATCGGACTATCCAATCTGAACCATAAAAGTTGAGTTAGGTTAGATTTTTTTCAGTTTAGATTGAGTAGGTCGATTCGTGGGTTGACATATTTTTAGTCAGGTCAACTCGACCAACTTTAAAATAGTGTTACAATCTAGTCCTATTGTCCACTACTTTTAAAATTGTTAAGAAACTTAGGAATATTAGACGTTTGTAACTGATATTAGTGATGTGTTATGACTCATGAATGTTTGATATTTGAAACTTATGAGATTTTAGCTATTAATGTAACATGTATGATAGATAATGAAATAATTAAAAAAAACAAACCTTACAATTCAACTCAACTCGAAAATAGAGAGTAGGGTTGGGTTGGGTTAGGTTGAGTTTGAACTCTATTCGGATTGCTCGAGCCGCCAACTCAATCAATACAAAATTAAGTTTAATTTGAAACGCCCACACCACTTGAATGCTCAGCTCTCGAAAGGCCTACATGATTAAAGTTGTGGGAATCCACGTAAAGCTTAGTCATATGATTGATAAAAAATGTAGTAGCCGTAGAACCTATTGATTTAAATAATGATTATCGATTTGTGATTAGACATTAATTATATTATTCTACCTCATACCAATCTAAATCTAAGTTAATTGATTAAAGAATCATATAGGGTAAGAATATGAATTTTTTATTTTGGAGGTCACATGTTGAATTTAAATAATTTATCTAATCAATAATTTTTTAAAGTTGAAATGGAGAGAATGGCATGAGAAATTTATTTGAAGCATGGGGAACATCATGTAGGCTAAAAAAATAATAGAAATCATGTGAAATAGGTTGATTCATGACCCTATTTTAATAACTATATATGTTTCTTAAATTTATTTATTTTATATATAACTCCATCTCTCCACTATTATTAAGTTCATTAATTCAACTTCATTTGTTATATATTATACTCAAATTGTATGATCCATCTTTTTATGCATAATTCATATATAATCATTGAGAGTCATCGGTTAAATGGAGAGAAAATGTTTATAGTTATTACGGTTAAAAACATGTCATGTTAAATCATTTGTAATAATTTATATAAGGTGCGAGATCCCATATTGATTGGGGAGAACAAAATATTCTTTATAAAGGTATGGAAACCTCTCCCTAGCAGACATATTTTTAAAAGTTTGAGAGGACAATATCTACTAGCGGTAGGATTTGGCTGTTACAAATGGTATCATAGCCTGACACTAGGCCATGTGCTAGTGAGGAGGTTGAGCCCTGAAGGGGTGAACATGAAGCAGTGTGCCAGCTAGGACGCTGGCTCCAAAAGGGGTGGATTGGGGGGTCTCACATCGATTGGAGAAGGGAAGGAGTGTTAACAAGGACGTTTGGCCCTGTAGGGAGTTGGATTGTGAGATCCCACATCGAATGGGGAGGAGTACGATTTTTTATAAGAGTGTGAAAACCTCTCACTAACGAACTCATTTTAAAAACCTTGAGCAGAAGCCCAAAGATATTACATAAGGATGTAGTAAGTAAAATAGCAAAAATAAGACAATAGCTAGTAGAATATAACATCTAATTATAATATATTTCTACCTTGTAGGCTTGATGCTCTCAAACGCCCGTGTCTAGAATAAAAAACATCCGTAAGGATTACATATGGGAAAACAAAATAGAAAATCTATATCCAAGAAAAACCATTGGAATAATAGTATCCATTGTTATTTGATTTGATACATTGTGGTCAGTAACATTGTTGAATTAGTACAGAAAGAGAGGGATTCGAACCCTCGGTAAACAAGAAGCTGCACTCTCTTCCATACTTTTATTTGTTTACATTCGAGTAAAAGAGTGAATGAAAGAATCATCCTCCTCTCCAATTTTCCGCCTTCAATTAGGTTCAGGAATCTTTAGTCTTTGTTTAACGACTGGAGTGGGAGAGTCAGAGTCGAAAAGAGGATTCCTCACCGACGTGTGTAAAAATAAACATTGAAGAGAAATTTCAAGAGAAATAAATAATTCAATGATTTGATCTCATTATTGAAGTAATAATTAATGCGAAAAGAGCCAATTGAAAAGCAATAATCATGCTTCTAATCCTCCATATTAGTAAAAAAATATACTATTTGATCCCTTAACCAGTCAGCCAAAATTTTTATAAAATGTACCAGGTAGAGATTTTACGATAAATAGAAGCAGAAGTGATGTGGATTATTCAAGAATCGAAGTCGAGTTGCTTTATAAAAAGAAGATATCAATGAACTTCTATGAAATGGTTTTACGGGATTTAGCTAATTGTCTTGATCGTGGGATATCATTGAGAAATAGGAATCCGTTATTTCGTACTATGCAATTCCTTTGTTTGTGGGATCATTTTCTGATTTCTTTTTTTTTTACTTCGCCCTTTGCATTGAAAGAAAAGATTCCAATGTACGTCTCAAAAAGAAATAGTACCATGAGAGAGTACAAAAAATACTCAATAAGTAACCTATTTAAATAGTCATAGTTATTCATGCAATTATGAATAGTCATAGTTATTCATGCAATTATGATAAGCTTTGGTAAGTGGATCATAAATGCTTACCTATGTTTATCTTAGGACCTAAATTTCGTATTTTTGGTTTAAACAGTCTACGTGTGTAATTGCTTAACCGTTGCTATCAAATATAAGATAATCATATAGAACATAGAGAGCAGGACTCCATAGTCGAACGAAGTACAAAGAATCTAGACATTTCACTAATGAGGTTAGTTAGTGACCTTCTAATAGTCTCCTTAGTAACATACGCATGAGGAGCAATCCCATACTCAACCAATTATCGAAATACATATGTGTCTTATCAATCTAGACAGTTCACTACTAGAGGTCATGTTGTAAACTTCTAATAGTTTCCACATAGTAACTTGATAATACTAATTACTCAAATACTATGTGGACCCTAACATCTTGTTGCAACTAAAATTTTGAGGCATCGAAAAGTCAGACTATGCAATGCAACATGCGTATATGAGAAAAAGGATAGAAAATTACCATAAAATTTCATGTGATTTTAAAACATTCAACAACATATCCAAAACCAATGTAAAAATATATAATCTTTATGAGAGCAATTTTCGAATATTTAAGGTCTAATAGTCGTCTACAAAAAAGAAAATAATAATAATAATAATAAATAAAATAGAAACAAAAAAAGATCTAAGCCAAAATAATCAATTCATTATCTCTAAAGACGAATTCTTAATTATTTGGGAGAGAATTACTTATAAGCTGAAGTTGGATGAAAGTCTCACCCTCACTAATTTAGAGAATTATCATAGATTTATAATCATAGAATACTATTTTTCATTGATATGATGCTTTTTGCGGAAGTTGATAGCAAATCCAGGAGAGCTTATGCTTAAAGTGTATATGACAATATTATACCATTGTGGAGAGTCGTGCTCATTTAACATGGTATCAGAGTCATGCCCTAAACTAACAAGTTATGTCGATAGAATCCTCAAATGTCGAATAAAGTATTGTGAGTCTCTAAGGCATAGTAAAAAATGACTAAGACTTCAAAAGAAAACGAGTCGAGCCTCAATTAAGGGGTGAACAATATCATATCATTGTGGAGAAGTTGTGTTAACCTAACGGCTTAAACACTCACATAATAATAAAACTACAATTTAGAAAGCAATCATTCATGATTATCTTAA